GGAAGCTAGTGTGAGGTGTGATTCATTAACACAATGATATTGTCAATAATTTTTCAAATTTGTAATTTTTTATAAATACAGAGTGTATTAACTATTTATCTTTTGGTCTGCAGTATATATGTTACCGTTTTAGAAGCTGCTCCAATGAGTTGACGTTTTATGACTTTGTTTTATGACTTCAAAGCTGTCAGACAATGCCATTGCTTCCATACTCTTAGAAAATTGCATGACATGTAGCTGCGTGTTGGAGACATTTGTATACCGGTAGCTAAAATTGTGGAATTGTGTAATGACCAAACAGTTGTAATATTTTTTTTTGTAGATATCAATATGAGTGGAAACTTGAAGAAGCTAAGAAGAACATTCTCAGGACTCACACAACTGCAGTCAGTGCTAGGATGCTATACAAACTGGCTCAACAGGTTCTCTTTGAGACTTTGATAATTTTCAGTAAGACAATCACACTGTGTAGTTCCAGAAAATATCCATACTAAGACCCCTTTCCCTCTGTTAATTCCAATCAAGTTTCATAAATTTCTTTAAATATTTTGGTCTTACAGAGCCTCCCCCTGCAGGAAATTCCAATCCCTTCTGCAGGGGGAGTATGGATATTTTCTTGAACTGCACATTGTTGACACATTTTTATATGATCTTATGATTTGTTAGGATCGATTTCCTATCAAACTTCCTTTGATCAGTTGGAATTTGTCTGGTTACCATCCACCACCACACATGTGAATTGTTTCCATCACAAATCACGAAAACATCAATTTTTGTCTCAATTCACAGGAAAAATTCACACCAGCCAAGTACTTCTCCATTGATCGAGTCTTCCGGAATGAGACACTAGATGCTACTCACCTAGCAGAGTTTCATCAGATTGAAGGTGTTGTTGCTGATTATAACCTGACACTTGGTGATCTGATTGGCGTACTGTATGAGTTCTTCAAGAAGTTAGGTAAGAGTTTTTAAAATAGCTCTTTCAATTTGAGTTGCATTGATATGTTCCAACCATTAGCATGTGTTTAAGGTTTTCTAACTTTCTTGGTTCTTTTTTTAGTCCAGATCTGACAAGTGTTAACCTTTCATCAGTCCAATAGACTACCTTCTTAATGTGTTATTTCTGTTGTGTAGATCTTGATAAGCTCATTCATCAAATAACACCCTGACAAGACATAACTTTTTTTCAGGTATTACAAAGTTAAGGTTTAAGCCTGCATTCAATCCTTATACAGAACCAAGTATGGAAGTGTTCAGTTATCATGAAGGTAATAAATACTTTTCACTGGTACCAATTTATTAGTACACTGAGAATGTTTTCATTGTTCACCTCTGTTAGATTTCAACTCCATGTTTCTCAGCCAAATTACACCGAAGACAAATTTGGAGAAAAGATTAGAAAATGAGGGATAAATAAAATGGCTGAATTTATTGGAATGTGCTTTGTGGAAAAAGTTATTTTGGACAGGTTGATAATAGGTCACAATAATTATTAGGATTTTTAAGTTTGCAGACACAAAGTTAAAGATTTTCATTTTTCACAGGCCTGAAAAAGTGGGTTGAAGTTGGCAATTCTGGAGTGTTTAGACCTGAGATGTTAATACCCATGGGTTTGCCTAAAGATGTGTCAGTCATTGCCTGGGGACTCTCCCTAGAAAGGTATGATGTCAATACAGTTTCATCTGGATTAATAAATGGGCATCTTAATTACATTTAATAAGTTTTGATTTGAGCACATCAAGCCTAAGTGTTGCTTGCATAATTTGTTGATAAAAGATTTAATTTTTCTACCACAGAAGACATGTGAACTTATGTGCTATTTACAATTAAGCCAGTAAGCTTTCCAAGTCACAACTGAGTTGACTGTAGTATAGTCAGAACAAAAACCGCATGGTATCATTTTTTGTTACGTAACGTAAATCAGAATGGGTGCTGATTTGCAATAGACTATGGCTTATTTGTATTGCTCTTACACCCGTAGGACCTCCCACGTGAAAAGGATGGGGATGCTCATTGAAAAATTTGAACTATACCCCTAAAGGAGACCTGTCTGGGCATAGATCCTTTGCATAAATGGTGCCTAAATTTGAGAGACAATAGTTCATACATCCTTAGTCTCGTACTCATGTTTCAAGACAAAGGATTTTTTTACATGAATGTGAGGCTAAGGATGTGGGGCTTCTCTGCTCTCACTTTTCCTTATAGGACTAACATTGGTAACCTAAACACATAAACTTGACTTCTGTCTTTCCCATTATAACTTTTTAAAATTTTTTTTGGGGGAAGCTGTTCTTCACAATTGCCAAGTCTTGCAACAGACAACCAGGAGCATGTCAGATGTTCTATTACATTAAAATTAATATGTTTATAAAAATTAATACAATCTTGTTTTGTCTTTGAGACTAAGAGTTCATGCTTCATCCATCCACAATCTGTGTATTTTGTCAGTTCATTGGTCCCTGTCTTATCAATATTGCATTACGATGAGCATCCAGTTTCTCAACAGCTGCAAGCGTTGCCACTGCTGGTCCTATATTATCCAGACCTTCCTTGGACACACACTGTGCAGTGATATGTTTCTGGAATGATGCTGTTGATACACCACTGTACATGCGTGCATAGCCATAGGTTGGCAGGGTGTGGTTTGTGCCACTAGCATAGTCTCCACAGCTCTCTGAAGAATACGGACCAAGGAAAACAGACCCTGCATTCTGTATATCTTTCAAACAATCTTCAGCATTCTACAGAGCAAATGAAACAGCCTGACCATCAATAAGGGAAAAGCTCTTGCAACATTGCTATTAATTGTTTTTAACTGATGGTTTTTTCACACAAGTCCACCTTTAAAGGAGCTCAGTCACAGTGTTTTGTCTTTTTTTGGCCTTTAAATGGAAGGAAACCTGAAAATAATAGTTTACTAAGATAGAAAAACATCAAAGAGAGAATAATAAACCATAAAGGAACAAGTATGGTCAAGGATGGCAAAGATTGACACGGATTGCAAACAAAGAATTTGAAATTTAAAATTAGGCTAAACTTTTCAAAATGTGCAAACCGTGACTGAGCTCCTTTAAAACAAGTATAATATATGTCAACTGGTGTGCATCTAACTTTCTCCAACTTATTAATAATTCATCAAGTTAAAACAAAGAAAATTGCAACCNCTGATGGTTTTTTCACACAAGTCCACCTTTAAAGGAGCTCAGTCACAGTGTTTTGTCTTTTTTTGGCCACGTACAAAATCTCCTTTAAATGGAAGGAAACCTGAAAATAATAGTTTACTAGGATAGAAAAACATCAAAGAGATAATAATAAACCATAAAGGAACAAGTATGGTCAAGGATGGAGAAGATTGACAAGGATTGCAAACAAAGAATTTGAAATTTAAAATTAGGCTAAACTTTTCAAAATGGCAAACCGTGACTGAGCTCCTTTAAAACAAGTGTAATATATGTTAACTGGTGTGCATCTAACTTTCTCCAACTTATTAATAATTCATCAAGTTAAAACAAAGAAAATCGCAACCATGAAGGAGGTTTGGATACTCGGTCTTAATTAACATAGATTTTGACTATTTTACTTCTCCGTTTACTCTTAGTTTTTGCTTTGATTGAGAAGATATATCAAAAACATAGTGCTCAACTAGTGTAGAAATTGCCACCCACTGGATATTAGCAAAAGGCGTCAGGCAATAAAATTATTAAAATATCAAACACGAGAGACAGTGTTTCATAGGCTATCCAAACACCTCAAATTTCATCAAAAATGCTCTGCTGTGCATTGTATTTTCAACTCTCTCCTTAGTGTTGGGATATCCCAATGAAACACTGTCTCTTCTGTTTGATATATTACCTGAAGCCTTTCCCTAATATCCAGTGTGTGGCAATTCCTACACTAGATGAGCACTGTGTTCATGTCAAGGTGGTGATTTAAATGAAAGCTATTGAACTGTACTTTTGTGTGGTATGTTTGTTATGTGGTAAAAGTTGGTTGTAACTTGAGCCTTTGATGAAACCTTCACTGTATGACCATTCAAATGAAAGCTTTTGAGTACTTCCACACAGTGTTTTTTCCTGTTCAATATGTACAATTAAAGTTGGGACTATTCGTCAGTTCTTTCTACTCACCTGAGTGTTGATGATGAGATGTTCTGGAGCATACTTGTTACTAAAGTACAGTGCCTGACTCATAGATGATACTTTTATCACAAAGCTCTTTGAAAGGGATTCTCTGACGATCTTTTCACGAGGTAGTTTCTTTGCTTGGGCATCCAGTTGACTCTAGAAATTCCAAATCATTCAATTACTGAATTGGTTTGCAGTGAAACAGGTTGGAGTTTTTATTATTTAACAACTGCCTCTGAGCGCAAAGTGGAGGTTTCACTTTTGGCACCCAGCTGTTTGATGGAAACGGCTCCCATGGCTGGAAAATCCTGGAAACCAGCCATGAGCCCCCACACAGACGGGAGAAAAACAGGTACCACTCACACTGATAAAACAGTGAAGAGAGAAGGCGAGAAAGGGGAGGGGAAACAACTTCTGAGAAGAGACCCCTTGAGTCCCCTCGAGTCCCCTCGCTCAAGAAAACACTGATCAAACCCAAAACTACTACAATACCCTTTGGTCTAAGAACATGTGGAATCCTGGCCCATGCGCACATTTTAAAGTCACTGACTGCAATGGTAAGACTTGTGGTCCTTGTTGATATGCTAGGTAACAATAATTTGACTGGCTGAGCTTCAAGGTCTTTCATTCCTTTTTCCCTATTGCCTAAAATTAAGACAGTTTCATGTACCTGTATAACATCAAGTTGTTTGTCAGTCAAATTAATAGCCACTAAAACCACTTGGCTGTCTGTTCCATGCTCTGCTTGTGATAAAAGATCAGCTGCCACAAACGAAGGATCTGCGCTTTGATCAGCTATGACCTACCAGTAATGAGATTAAAAGGAGGACATTACAAAGGTCTCTCCCTTATAACTGATGTTATGTTGGGGTTCAATTTTACCCTTGGTAAAGTTTGGTATTTAACTTGTTTTCAAACATGGTAAGGTGAGGAAAAGTCTGCATATGAGCCAAGTGGCCCATCAGGCCAGTGCTTACCCTGGTTTCTGTGGAATGAAGTGACTTTGAGTATTTCTAATCCTCCAAAGAATTGTAGGCCTGCAGTATGTACAGAGACATTTGCAATGCATTGAATCCCTAAAACAAGCAGGGGTTTCATTAATGTTTTCAGCAGGAGGGGAACAGATTTCCACAGGCGAACAAAACATTTTGAACTGAACTTCTTTATAAGAAAAATTTCCCCTCAAAATCGTTCTGACAGCTGGTCTATTTGCCAGGAGAACCCCTGAACTAGTTAATGCTATGTAAGTACACACCATAACTTCTGAAGGTCCTGCTGGCATGTCAATGCTGACACTTGCTGAGCTGTCGTTTTGTACCAACATTTTAGCCATGGTCACAAATGAATTTCCTGGTCCACACAGCTTGTCTACTTTGGGTACAGTTTCTGTTCCGTAAGCCATTGCAGCTATTGCCTGGGCTCCACCTGATTTGAACATTAGTCATTAGACAATAGACAACAAGAGCATAAATTTCTACTTTTTGATTGCCAGACGTTTTATTTGGGTATACAAAATGCAAATATTCACCCCAGAATATATTAATGTCCCCTTCATTTCTTCTCATATAATGATACATTGAGAACAACTTAATTCTTAATTAAATTACAATGGTGAAGCTCTGCAAATACCTATACCTTTTCATCTCTCTTTCAATGTCTAAATTAAAATACATGTATTTGTACTATTTCTCTTTTTTTTCTCTGTAAAATCAGTATGCTGTACTATTAGCTATGGTACTGGATGGAAATTCTCTAGTACTGTACAATACATGGCCAATTTACCTGCAAGTAATATTTTTGAAACTCCAACTTTCTTTGCAATGTAAAGAATCTCAAGGGAGACAGATCCATCTTGTTTTGGAGGTGTGGCCAAAATAACTTCCTCACATCCTGCAACCTGAGCTGGAATACCAAGCATAAGAGCTGTTGACGGCAACACAGCACTTCCACCAGGTACATAGAGTCCAACCTACAAAAAATAAACTTACAGAAGATCTGGCATTGGAAGGCATGTACAATGATTTTCCACACTGAGGCATCAGTGATATATGTCAAACCTCACTGCATTCAGTTGAGGTAGTATTTTTGGACAACAGTAATACTTCAAGCCTTGAAACTCGAGCTCAAGTCATGGGTTGAGCATGAGTTAACCTAAAATATGTCTTTTGAAATTATTCTTCGTTCATGATTTTTACAATGAGCAAAGATTGCTATTCCATTTACTAAAAATTATCAATGCTACGGTTGGCTTAAAGGGCACCTGGTAAAATGTTGTGGTTAGCACTCTGTGAATACACAAATCATACAGTTCAACAGCCACTTAAAGTGAGATATGATAGCAGTCACTTACCTTTGCAATGGGTCTGACATGCCGAGAGCACACTACACCCTTGCATGTTTCGACCACAAGGGGTTCCAGGTTAAGCTGTGCCTTGTGAAACTTGTAAATATTGTCGTAAGCCAAATCAATTGCATCTTTAATCTCCTGGTCCAGATGAGGCTCACCTGTTGCAGTCATATCAATCACAGGGCAGGACAGTTTTGCTTTATCAAACTTTTCTGTTAACGTTAGCAAAGCCTTGTCACCACTGGTACGTACATTGACCATGATGGGTCTAACAATAGCCTCCAGCTTTGCTGTTTCCACTACAGCAGGGCGCTTACAGAGATCTTGCAGTTCTTTTTCACCAAGGAGCTGATAATCAAAGCTTTTCAAAATGGAGTTGCATGTGCTGACTGCAGATGGATTACTCTGTTGAGGGGCATGTCCTGTTGCTATGGTAACTGGATGGCCATTAATGGATGGTAGTTTGTCAGGTTTTGCATTGCCTGGGCGTCGTCTCACCTTGAGTGACCTCTGATCAAGAACCTTTTCAATATCACGTAACGACACTCCTATGAGAAAGAGAATATCAAAAATAATAATGAAACACAATTCCCTACTTTTCCTAGCATTATTTGTGACAAACAACACAAACACAATTGTTTTAAAAGACTTTTTAAGGCTTTGATATGTCTTTGAGAAAGTTCCGATGTAAAAAGGGTCATACACGTTATGAAATATAGTTGATTACCTGCTTTTGCACATTTCACAAATGTAAAATACAAAACATCAGCTGCTTCCCAAGCAATCTCCTCTTTGCTTTCTGCTTCACACAGTTCCTCTGCCTCTTCACGAATCTTAGCATGCAGTAGTTTGCTGTCATTGTAAAGACGATCTGTGTAGGATCCTGGAGGTGCAGACTGCTTGCGTGACTTCAATGTGTTCATCAGTAATGGCAATCCACTGTTGGCTCCAAAACAGGACCAGGTGTCAAGATGGCAAAAACCCAACCCTTGCTGACGCACAACAAACTTCAGAGTATCAGAGTCACAGTCTGAATAAACTCTTAACAAATCCTACCAAAAAAATGCAATAAGAATAACTATAAGTCCTTTAGGTCATACATGTTATGGGAGGTGTGGTGGCCTCATGGTTAGTGCACTTGTCTCTGGATTGAGTGGTCAGGTTTCAAGCCATGGCCAGGGTCACTGTGTTGTGTTATCGGGCAAGATACTTTATTCTCACAGTGCCTCTCTCCACACAGGTGTACATGTATAAATATATACTGGCTACCTTAATGCTGGAGGTAACCCTGTGATGGAATAGCATCCCATCCAGGGGGAAGTAGAAATACTCCTAGTCACTTCATGCTACAGAAACCAGGATAAGCTCCAGCCTGATGGGCCACTTGGCTCGTATGCAGACTTGACCTACTTAACTAGGTCATACATGTACAAGCCAGCAGTAACTGTGTGGTGACATTGGCCCGTCCAGCTCAAAGGGCAATGTCACCCACTCTATTTACAAAATTTGGATTGGGTATTTTCAGACCCATACCTGTTCATTACCAGACGTCTCCCCCTTCCTCCACAATCCTCTTGTTCTTGACCAATAAACACCCTTCTTGGTTTTTACTGCTTCTTGAATGCTTTCAGCACTGGAGTAACACAACCCAAGGGCCACATTGTGCTCATCTGTCTGAAAACAAACACCAAGAATTGATATTTATCTATAACTAGGAAACAGATAAAATAATTTGTTCAGAAGCATACTCAAATACAAGCAAGCAGAGTGGTACAGGGGTCTCGTCTTAAACATGCTGGAAACAAAATTAAACAAAAATAAAAGAAATCTAAAATTAAGGAAAACATGCTAGACTCTGGTAGTAAATATTATTGCAAGTCTGGGATGGAGGCACGCCATTAATATTTAGTCTAAGATAGGCTAAGAGTTGATTCTATCTCAGATCGACGGTATAGTGCTGTTCTTCTTCATAATAGTCTGTTAAATAAAAACAATAAACAATGCTATCCACATGACAAAGTGCTATCAATGTGGTAAGTAGTCTAGCACTCTACACATATTGTCAGCCTATGATGGTAATTATTATCTGGTTCTACACATATTGTAGGCCCATTATGCTAGATCTTTATGTACCTCTTCATTCGATAATGATCTGATAGATAGCCCGATACATCCTTTTAATAAATGAGTTGTGGTACAGAGCAAACTTGTTCTCAGGACTCTTTCCACATATGAAGAAAAAAAGGACCCTGGGGATGACATGCAAAGTGAAGATGTGTCTTTCCTTGTACAACTACTCACTCCCCCCTCCCCCAAAGAGTGAAAGTATCTAAGGTCCTTATTTCCTCTTTTTTAGGCATTATGTTTCTGATCATGTAAGTATACCCTGTTTGAGACACTGACGTTCAGACCTTGTTTATGACAGAGACAGCAAAAGTATATAGCCTGTAATGCCAAAAAACCGTAGCCCATAGAAGGGGGTACCTCGTAGCGGAAGTCATGCATTACTTACCACTAGAGTAGGGATGAGTCCATCAGGACGGTCACTTTTCAGGCAAGATGAAATGATCTGTCCAAGACTGAGCTCATTTAACAGCCAAGTAGCGTTCATCCGTACTTGCACGCCAAGAGAGTGAAGCTGTGAGATGGTGGAGTATGAAATCATGTCATCAACAGAGAGGATAAGTCTCACATCATCACACAGAGAGCTCTTCAATTCTTTTGCAAACCCAACCAGCAATGGTTCATCAACTTGAGAATCTCGCTCATAAGACAAGAGAAAACTTGAAGTTCTTTCTTTCAAGTTATTGATGTCCTTGCCTAATTCTCCAATGGATGTTTCTGAGCCTGTTAATTTACATATAATTCTTTCTTTAGGTATAAACTGACCAGAGACATCCAGATGTTCTTTGCTGAGGATCACATGATTTGCACCGCCGTCCAGTAAATCCAACACCTCCTCTGCACTGTCCGCTTCATATTCAACACCGCAACAGGAAGTAGCGTGTACAAGTTTCTTTCCAAACTCTTTGGTCTCCTTCAGTTTATCTAGGTACACGATGGCAAATTCTGGGCACAGCGAAATTATATCAAGGCACGTAGATAAACCTTGCACATTCTCTCCGTTGCTAGGATCCACGAGGGTCCCCTTTCTCAAATGTAGACATGGAATTATCATTTTAAACATAAAACTGAGAGAAATTACCCTTCAACATCTTCGACATGTAAATTACCCGCGAATTTTATATCCACGTGGCCAAGCAAACAGCGGCTTTGTTACTGATCGCATGCGCTTTAACGCAGCAAGAAAATCCAACATGGCGGCAAGTGATGATGAGGTTGGTCTTGTGGACGTAAAGGTAACTATATAGGCGCTTCTCGTTTTCTTTTCGGCTAAAATTTACATTGAGTGATAAACTATAGGATTTTTGTTCATTAAGGTACTCGTGGTTTGATATTCCAAATATAATGGTGATGTTAACCTCTTGAACATAACTTGTGCAGAAGCTAAGCTTTTGATTGATCGAGCAAAGATAATCACTAAATTTGCATTTAAGACTTATTTTGATTGCATTTATTTTGATGTGCAACTGTTCCTTCCTGAATAAACTTTGTAGCGAATTCAAGTGGTTATAATTAATTAACGTTCACACACAGGTCAAAGTCACACTAAAGGGCTGAGGTATAAGCTAGAAAGTAGAATGCCACTGGCCAATAGATGAGCTTAAAGGAGTTTAAAAACGTGGCGGTACGTTAGTACCCTAACCTGTGGCGACTGTAATGTAGTGAATCTTTAGGCAGCAAAACTCCAAGTGGATGTAGGGAGGGTCTGACCTAAACATCCAGTTGATGATAAGCGGGGAACAAGTGAATTTGTTGACAACCCCTTATTAGTAAGGTGTGATATACAAAGGGAACTAATTTGTGATCATCAACTTGCTTACTCAGATGGAAGATGCAGGCGATGTCAGTGATGACTTCAAATTCCAAGGTTTGTGTAATTAACATCTATTTCCCAAGTATTTCAGTTTATTTAGTGGCTTAAGCTGCACATGGTTTAACTGATGCATAAAATAGTAGATTGGCTAGTTTGGTCATTTATATACAGCAAGTCCTGAAAAATGTTATTTAACACTTAAGCTACACTTTGCTTGATTGAAAGTTGTCTAATAATGCCAGATGATCTTGCTTCACTAATTGGATGAAATGGGCCTGAAGGATGTCTTTCCTTCATTGACTTGGTGTGTGCTTTTTCCTTGTAGACTTCACCAAAGTAGATGACATAAATAACCTCAACACTGTGGGTAACATTGACAAAGAACCTGGAACCACAGTCCCTGGCAAAATTGGAACACACTCGCTAGAAGATTTTTCTGATGGTAGTTCTTATTATTGTTAATCTTGTGTTTATGAGGAGTGCAAGAACAACTTGATAGGTTACTTAAATTTCAGCCAGGTCCACAGCCTCTTTTGGGGTAACCTACCAGAGGAGGACTGAAATTCAGACCACCTAATCATAATTGACCACTTTGAAAAGATAATAAAACGTTGCTGTAATTCTTTACCAAAAGGATTATTGTGTTAAAAGATTACAAAATTATGCACCAATTAAATGTAAGCTCATCAAAGGATAGATTTGTATATATATATATTTATAAATTTTTATTCACTGACTTTTTTATTCATGTAAAATGTTGCCACTACACTGTTGGACCATGTAGAGAGTTTTTTCCTTTGTCAGTGAGAAGCACACATGATGTTAAAACATTGAATCAGTACAAAACTAACAATTGAACAGGCTTTTTGCTCAATGATATTGTTTGCTGACATTGTTCCTTTTCCACTCAATCATTCATCGCTTCAATTTCATTCACAGATGATGAAGAAGACAAAACAGAGGTTAGCAAGATATTTTATTTATTTTTATGAAAATAACAGTTATATTTTGTTAATACACAGACTTGACACCTTGCTGTTGTAATTTAGTTGCATAATAATTTAATCATTTCATCTTGACTACTATTATTCTATTGAATATCTTTGTAGCTTTTGGCTGGTCAAAGGAAACAACCACCATTTTGGACATTTGAGTATTACCAAACCTTCTTTGATGTTGACTCATACCAAGTAAGTAGGATGAGTTATGTGTCCTTGTATCAAAAAAAGGTAATGGAACTCATCATCTGAGGAAATTTGTCTGGAAGTACATCTATAATGTGTATGCGGGACTGTTATGGCATAGCTTGTGCAAAAAGAGAAAACAATCAAACTCCTTTGGTTGTAATTGATAAATTATATGAAATTGAAAACTACACTTTCCAAAAATGTGAGCCATCATGTAATAATTCAGACATTTACACAGAACCCTTGTAAAGCATGTTGATTAGTATTATATTTCAAGAAGTTAGCTTGCCAGTTAGTGTACTGGGGGGTTAGTTTTTTTATCTTGTTTAGAAATTTATTGCAAAGTTGATCTGAATATAGAAATACTCTGTAACCACAACTGTGTACCTTTGAGCTTGTAGTGTAAAGAATTCAAATATTGAAGTATTTGGCACAATTGTCTTGCTTCAGCATTAGAAACAAGGAGATTGCAAGTGTAAGAACAAATGATGTTGATTTCTTACTACCGTGGGAATTATTTAAATGCATTTTTCTAGAAGGTTGTGGGTTATTGTTAGTCCAGCAAACTGAGCAGATATTTTGAGAGTTTGAAATAACCCAGCCCTTACATTTGTTTTCAGGTCATCAGGAGGATTATTGGCTCAATGGTTCCAGTATACAAGAAAAATTACCTTGTTTCTTTTATCCGTCCTAATCCTGATCTTTATGGTAACATTTATTTACTAGCGAATGTAGTATCTTTTAATTAAGCAAATAGTGCATTACCTAAACAACATTTTAGCAAACATGTTACTTACACCAATTAAAAAAGAAATCTTACCTGCAAGCCTCTCAGAGTCTGGCTTCTTTTGCTACATGTAAGTAATTTTGAATCGATGTTCCACAATGTAGGGCAAAATTATTGGTTATCTTGTTTGACACTGCCTCAATTTGCCTGATCAACTATAAAGTTAAGGTTATTTTAAACTGTTGACAGTGTACTGTAGGTGGCAATAAGGATGGGGATTTGGCAACCTGGTGTTTCACTACAAAGGTTGAACTTCAGGTGGACATTTTATCCCAGCTGTGCCATACTTGATCTTATGGAACGTCTGCAATTGAGGATGGTTCCTATCCTGCTCTAGCATTTCCTAATCCAAGTTCACTGTCATAGAGCTGACACTACTGAGCTCTGAGAACAAATCAAAGCTACCATTGTTTGATGCACTGTGGTCAATCTAGCTTCAAAATTAATGATCATCTCCTTTATGTATTTTATTTTTCAGGTCCATTCTGGGTGTGTGCGACATTAGTATTCACAACGGCAATAGCTGGTAATCTTGCAAGTTACCTTATCAATACTGGAGATCACCAGTGGGTTTATGACTTCCACAAAGGTATACGTCATGTTTCAAAATTTATTGGTGCTAATGGCTAATTCCCTCTTTAAGATGCACCTGCAAGGAATCATGGTGGTTGTATTCATCATCTTGGACAGGATGTTAAATTGTTTTGATGAATACAAGTCCACTATTCCCTGCAGGCACGTCTCATAGAGGAAATGGACAATTTGCCCGGGAGCTGATTACTTCATTTTTTCTCACCATTGGTCTGCTTGTCATTTATTGCAGTGACACTAGCTGCAGCGGCTATCTACTCATATGCCTTCATTATTCCTGCTCTCCTCTGGGGACTTCTTCTTTGGAGAAGAAGCAATGCTGGATATTCATTTCTGGAAATCCTTTGTGTTTATGGTTATTCTTTGTCCATATATATCCCAATTTCAGTAAGTTGGAAATGCTGTGATAGTTTTTGCAACACTTGCATGTACTTCCATTTGACTTCATTGGTTCAAACTTGTGTTACCTATCCACATCTACCAGTATGTTAGACCCCAGATCAAGCTGAAAATGGGGACGCTAAAGAATGAACAGACTGCTTAATTGCAATATTATTTACGTAATTACTTAAATTAAACTTAAACAAATAAAAGTTAAACTTTTCTGTTTCCCAGATATTATGGGTTGCTCCGCTGGAATGGCTAAGGTGGCTTCTTGTTATGATCGGAATGATATTATCAGGTAAAGTCATCACAAGGGATGTGTATGTCATATCAATTTCTCTAAGATGAGAGCATCATGATTTGAAGAGTACAACCTCCATTTCTCTGTCTTTGTTCAGTGATACAGATCATAGTCTTATCATTGTACTTTTAGATTACGTAGAATAAAAAAGGTGAGCCCCAGACAAGGGTATTTAAAGCAATCTGGTGGAGCAAAATGATGTACCGTGATCTTTATCAGGTTACAACAACAGAAATGAAGGTTTTTTTCCTTTACCAAATTTCCACGGTATCAAAATGCTAAAGATTGAGGTTGAGACAATGTACAGTGTACTTGAGTTCCTGCACATGCACAAAACTAGTTTAAATGTTATGTAATCAAATTGCAGTGTATTATTATTGTTATTAGAAACACTTTCTTGTAGTTCATGTTTTCTAAATTTTTTCTTTTTCATGACACATGAAAAAAAATTTCAGTCACAACATTGAGTTTATTGAACCAAAATCTTTCAGGTTCTGTGCTGTTATTAACCTTTTGGCCAGCAGTTGAAGATGATGACAAAAAGGTGCGAGTAATGCTCAGAGAACCATTTGACAGCCAAGTCTTTCAATCCTCTTTTTTACTCTATATTAAGGTCCCTAGTGGTCCCTTTTATATATCTCTTACTAACCAAGGTCACGGGCCATACTGTAAGTTAGGGACCAAGTTTTTTTCCCCATTGATTTATGGCCCAAGTGTAAAGTGCACGAGTCGCAAATGGAACGGGAAAAACAAGGATCCGTAACTTACAGTATGGACTGACAAAACAAGGTTAACTTAGTAAGATATTTATCATATCGCCACTGTGTGTCGGATGGGTTTGGGAACAATGTTTATTCACACGGAACGGCTTCAAATTTCTGACGCATGTCGAAAGCAAAACGAGTCAATTTGAAATCATTGTTAAGTGACTCTTAAGTCTTTAGCAGGTTTTAATACACAATTTCAGAAATAAAAGTGAGTTTTAAACTTTTACTTGCTAAAAACGTTATGACCTCTTGGGGATAAAGCATGAAACATTTTGGCAACAGAAACAGGTTTAAATTTTAGCGGGCCGTACGGTAGAATATTGCTTGCCAAATTGACCAATCGCAGCATGCCTACTAACTGAGAGATATAGTAATGAACAGTACTCACATTCATTGTTTTGTTTTGTTTTGTTATTTCCCCCATTCAGTATGTCATTATCATTTGTTGTTTTCAGGTAGCTGGCATTATTCTGGCAGCCATATTTCTTGTACATGGGCTTTTAGCTGTAGGATTTAAGGTACATTGTACAGAAACCCTTATTCCTAGTTTGGCCACTAAACTGTCTTTGAATTTCTCTATGTTCAATAGATTGGCTCAAAATGAAGATAGGAACTCTATGCACTCAGAACATGTATTGTGTAGTTCCAGAAAATATTTCACCCCTCTGGAAATTCCAATTAAGTGTCATACATTTCTTTAAATTTTTAGGTCTTACTGCACCCTCCACCCCCAGGAAATTCCAATCCCTTCTGTGGGGGGAGTAAGGATATTTTCTAGAACAGTGCATTGCAAAGTAGTATAGTTATTGCTATGGCATCTGCATGATTATACAGTACCGGTCAAATGTAAGTTGACAGTTGACTCGAAACTCGATCCTCGATCCTCAATGCTTTCGAGAATTGAGAATCGAGTTTCGAGGCTTGAGTTTGGAGTTTGGAGTTTGGAGTATTGAGTTTCAAGTTTTGAGACGCTCAAAGAATTTTTTTAGGTTTTGTATGATATGTTTTATGTCAAGGCAACAGACTTCTTGTGATNTTCAACTTGCATTTGCTAACTTTATTATTGCCTTTCCTGTCCGACTAGTTGGGTGATACTAAAACAATTAGACCCTTTGCCCTCAAGGGCCACAGGACAATAGTAGCCCTTGTGCGCTAAGGGCCTAATTGTTAAATATCAAGAATTTTGAGAGAAAATGAAATTATTGTTGAATTTTTCATGACCTCTAAATGTGAGTGTCCAAATCATCTTTTGGGTCCCTTTTGAAAGCTACAAGTCAAAGGGAATTTGTTTGTTTGCCCTCAAATTTGGACAGTAGTTAGTTTCTCATATAAACAACAAAAGCATGTCTGCAAATTTTTTTCTTTTCAAATATTTTTTGTTGGAGAGCGATTTTTATATAGTCACTCCATATTTTTTAATCCTATTTTGATAATGTTCTGCAACTTTTCACTGAAATTGAATATGGCAAATCGCAGACAGGTTTTTAGTGCTTTGGGGCTGGAAACTGAGGAACAAATTAAATAAGTGAAAAACAAAATTCACTTCAACTTGTAGCTTTCAAAAGGAGATTTGGATGATCGCATTTAGAGGTAAAAAATTCGATAATTTATTTTATTTAAAAAATCTTGGTATAGTTTGATAGCCTAAGCTTTAATTTGATAAAGGGTTTTAGGTATTTACAGTTTAAACCGGATGCACTACATCCCTTGGACATGAGACACCTCTACAGGAATACAGTAACCCTCAAAATAATTCAACACAAAAGTTGCTTCCAAAGCAATACTGTAGAGAAAAAATTAAACATGTTATTTGCTGGCGTTGTTTGGTCTGCATTAGGAAAAACTGTGCCCTTGATCTTGAGTGCTGTTTTTTCCAATACAGACCTCCTGGCCAGAAAATAACATATAATTATATGTCTTGTTTGAATTTGTTACGTGGGACATCACATAACACAACACTTCTGGAGCCTTGCCTGGTGATCTAAATCAAGCTAGTGAATTTAGATATGTACATTGTCCTTACAACAATTGTTACCATAATTTTACATTCAATGACATGTTTCACCTACACCTTCATTTCTTGGGATGAAGCAATAAAATTATAAATAGCATTAAGTTTCGTATTTTATGTTGTATTCTAAGTTAACATTCACTTTCTTCTCCTTCTTCAGCTGTAACAATCAGCTGTGAAGAGGCAAACTGTCCTTTATGGGTACAAGAAGATGGAGGACATTCCTGTCAAGATAGAAAATTGTAATGTTTAGTTAGAAGGGATAGTGGTTCTTCAGCTTCATATTTTAAAGAATAATTATATAAACCAAAGAAAATACCTTGCAGTCTTCTACAAGACAAACTGGACTTCCTCGGTTTAGACTTCTCTCTTGCAGGAAATCAAGGAACTGAAATGAAAGCATTATACAAGATTACAATCAGCTCTCTGTTGAATAACTTGCAACTAAGCCAGAGAAGAGAGGAAGAGAGAAAGTGATTCTTTTGATAATTCAAATACAACTTACCAAGCAACGCTTTGGTTGGCACTTACTGTTTATTATAGACCATGTTCATTAATGGCTGCCGATTTAATGTTCTTTTTTGATAGTGTCTACTGCACTGTACATACAAGATAGTTTTGACCTTTAAGTCTGGAAGGAACCCTAGTGTGTGGCCATTTAAATGAAAGCTGTTTTGGCCACCTCTTTCATGTAGTGTGATCCTGTGTATTATTGGAATTTTGTGCATGTGACAATTCAACTGAAGGATGCAGAGCATAGATCACTCTCAAATGGCGCTGTTTGTTACCAATTTTTAGACAATTAAGAGAGGGAAGAGTGTATATGTTTTAGGTCAATTTGTTCTTTAGGTCACAATGATTTCAACCTAGGTTAATTTGTGTCAAAGTAGAAGGTGCTTAAATTAACTATTAAATATTACCTCTGCAGAGTCATTAAAAAGTTCATCTTCATCTTCTCCTGGTGGCCTGTTTTTCATCACTGCATGGAATTCCTGATCTGGACTTTCCTCAGCCATGTAAAAATGGCGATCTATGTATTTTGAGCGAATGAAGTTTTGCCTCTCCTCCCTAGTTAAATAATAAATGTTAAATTAAGTCCTGTAAGTGGTAATGCTTACCAATGGAAGCGGAAATCACCAGGCTACATATGTTGTACATGTAACAAAATTAACACTGAAAGATGTGTTTCCATTGTCTCTTTTCAATTGATCTACAGACAAAGAACTGGATAATCTCTTTTGAAAGTGCATGATTCGGATCGTCACACAACAAGAAGCATTGCGTGACAACCCAAATAATGGTGGCAAAGATTTAGACTGATACCTTGCATTACCTGTGTGTATATATGACAACTCATCCAGAATCTTAATAAGAAGATCCCAGAGAGGTGTAAAAGCTATTGCTAATATTTGCCAGACGTTTTTAGTTGTAAATTAATAACTAAAATTAGACTTGGAATAGAAATAATCTCAAATCATTTATAAGTCCATGGTAATGTTATTCTGCTTTGCAATTCTCAAGGTCATCCCTGTCATGCAGCACTTCTCACAGTGCATTGCATTACAAACAATTAAAACAAAGATGCAAAGAAAATTAAGTCAGGGAAATTATTTTTTTTGGGGGGGGGGGCAGGGGTATGGCCTCTTAGTCTTGAAAGGGAGGTGTTTGATTACAGTATGATTAAGGGTGAGTGTAACTGCAACTTACTTTGTGCAATCTCTTGTGGGTTTCGGACATTCTCCAAGATTGCCTTCATATATTCTGTTCACTTTATCATTACCCATAGCTTCCATGAACTAGTAAAACAAAATGCAATCAATAATTATTTCAGGCAAAAAGTGCCGTGATTAATATCATGCATACTTTGAGGTTAGACCATTTTTAACCTGCAAGTACACAAGAGAAAGAGCTGCCAATAACAATGATTAGAGCTACCTTAAAAAGGTAGAATAGGCAGATAAATAAATAGGTTTTAAGTTTATATTTCCACGAATGTAGAGAAGTTATCAGGAAGAAAGGATAATTTCTTGAATACCAATCCTTCAGACCTCTCTGACTGTCTGAATCACTTGAAAGAAAGTTTGTAAAGTGTCAAAAATTGTAACAATTAATGTAGTTTGCATGAAAAGTTTGCATTTGAACCGGCCTTATGGTCCATCAGACTGGAAACTGTCTCACTAAATGTCAAAAGTTTCATTCAGTGTTACCTCTCTGAATTTCTTGGTGCATAAAGTAAGTTGATGACTTTTGCTTGTAATGTTGATTACCTCTCACCTTCACAGTTGGTTCCTCCCATTTGTCTAACGTAAGTGATCTTACTTTAGACACATGCACTCCAAGGCTGCGATGGATTCCAGAACATTCAATACAAACTAAGATTCCTAGGTTAATACTCGCCCAGTCTGGTCCTGAAAACAAATATTAAAACATCACATAGGCCTTAATGACAAGAGAATTTTTTTTATATCAATGGCAAGAGGACTTGCACACAAACAAGTAATGTTCTATCTCCATCTTCAGTTTTCTTGCTTTCTGACTGATCAATTAATGTACCCCTCTACCAGTTTGAAAGCCTGTTCACAGCTGAAAAGGTTTAGAAAACCTGAAGTTTAAAACTTACTTGGTGCAGAGCAGTCTGCACAATAGGAATTGCCTTCGATCTTTCTAATTCTCTCTGAGGCATTAAGCACAAATACTTTCTTTGCATTGGCAGCAGAGTGGCTTGATCTGTCAGCTTGTGATNCCCCCCACCACTCAAATGTTTCACAGGATGCCTGTACTATTCACCAACACCCATTTACGCACTAGGAGCACAAGGGAGAGAAACACATTGTGAGAGGAAAATATCTTGCCCAAGTACAGGCATGACACTATGACCCTGCTCAATCTGAATTCCAGTGCATGAACCAATGAGTCCATACATCATCCCCCAAAAAATAACAATAGCAAAAATATTCTTGGAAAAATAGGAATTCCTAAAAGTTTCTAAATGTACAGTACTTGAAAATAAGGCAACACATATTGAAAACTGTAGAAGAGAAGATCAGCTCTTACCTGAATGGCTGTCACCCATTCCTGTACTTCTTGCTCTGTCACTGCTTGGAATATTCTTTCACTACTTGGAGATATAAGCTAAAAAATAATGTAGAACAAAGATTTAGTTTGTGGCTTACACAACAACAACAAAAGATTATTTGGCTGTATGTAATAATTACTATAATTATAGCTGTACACTGTATAGATCATGTACATGCATTTTTTTGGTTCAACTGAGAGACCAAAAAATAATATGATCAGCAATTCAAAGGAATCAAAGCAATACCTGAAAACAGTTATTTCTGTCAGCATCAGCTGCAGAACAAAACTTCACTGTGCATAGAAGTAGATTCTCCATTACTGATGGACTGAGCTGTTCTTGTCCCTGAGCTAACAACCTTCCATCCTTATGGTCTACTATGAAGTACTAAAAACAACATACAGAAAAGGAAGGAGAGCAGAAAACTGATGAAGGTATAGAGGGATTCATGCTGATGTCATTGTCTACATTTTTGCTCATTTGCATACGGCTTTACGTACTGAAGAAAGAATGTTAGATATGAATTGACTCCAGGCAGCTAAAGAGCTAGTGAAACTTAATACCTGGTGAAATTTTTAGCTCTTTGGGTGTAATATTCAAGGAGATATTGTCTTTGAAAATACATCAAGCTCATATTCATTGGCAGAGTTAATCATACTATGACCTTTCAATATTCAGAACTGATTTATTTGTAGCTCCATCAGAAACTGAATTGCTTATGCTAATGAGGCAAATATTGTAAACAAGGATTCCCCTATAGTTTTAGTAAAAAATACATTTTATGGATCCAGTCATTGCAAGACCATTATACTCCATTATACCTTGTTAAGGCAGTTTTGATTATCTTGTCAAGTAGTTGAAAAGTATGGTAAGAGTCTATTTCAACCCTGGGCATTGAAGGAGTGAGATACAGAATGACTGAGACTATAACATTTTAGATTGTTGGTGTGTCTGAAAAATACTAGCCCACTCTAATGTCCGGAAAAGGAAACCTTTACATACAACAAGCTCAGGCTCTAGAGGCATGTGCCAATCAAATTATAAGTTGAAAATTGAACATAAACTTCATTAGAGTCCCTAACAATAGGGGTTTGACCAGTGGGTTATTTATAGCAGGTGCACAAAAGTGCAACCAACCACATGTAGCTAACACTTAAGTCAATTGAATTACAAGATGGCTGAGTCAAATGGACTTGACCTTGAAGCTTTCTAATCTCTAGACTACAGTGTAGGCACCTAATGTGTCATCTTTTAGTAGGCATTTATCGTGATAAACAATTTCAATTTTACTTGCTGCCAATACAGTAACTGCCTTTCATGTAACCATACTTACATACTCAGTTTCAATGACTCTACTAACTTATTAACAATCTTAAGTTTAGACTTGACCAATTTAATTAATATGTAGATATGTGTAAATCGTTGTTCTTTTTTAAAACAAATATTTAGTTTTGTACAGTAACTTGTCAAACAATGCTTATTCAAAATCAGTAACAAGTATTTGAAGCTAATCTTGTAATATGCCTACCAGTAGTGGCCATCTTGACTTAGGAAATCCCTTCTGTTTTATCCTTAAATAACCTCTTTTACACTGCTCCCATCCATGTGAAGAAGTGACTTGAGTACCTTTCCCTGTTGATATTCTGAAATAAAGTCAACAGGACCATTATTGCCAACATGCTGAGCTTTTGACCTCCACAAACTGGACACTCTTGATGGAAATAATTAGAGAAAAAATAAAATTCTCAGCTTTAATCAATAGTGAGTACTAGGCTGGCTAGTAGCTTTAGTCAGTAACTTAACATTAAGTCTGTGTTAAATACTTGTATTAGCAATTTCAATTTTGTTATGTATTGACTAGTAATAACATTAAAAAACCTTAGTAACTCTACAACCAATCACCACATTGATATACTGATAAAACAACAACAACGACAACAACAATCTTTATTTCGTGCCCAGAAAAATTTTACAATAAAAATAAATACATGCAATGTGAAAAAATAACAATGAAAAACAGAGCATCTTCTGTTTGGCCTAAATTAATAGTCACTGGGTGGTCAAACAAAACTAGAAAATTTCAACGAAGAAGTGTCATTGGGCTACATTACAACAGTTAATTTTTTTTCTTCATTATCTGTGTAATATCTGTGAAGAAACACATCAAGCTTTTTTATAATTACTGGATAGGCCTTGATTCATCTGTTTGCTCGACATTTCTGTTTTGTGGAGTTACTTCAGAACTTGGGCTAAGAAGATCATCTGGCACAACTTTAATTACTTTTTCTTGAGCATCATCTAGGACAGAAATTGGGAAGGATTACTTGTTTGCCATGGTTACAGTTAATCTTTAAAAAAAGACTGTTTCTGAAAAATTTGTCAAAACCCAAAATGATGTTCATTTTGCACACTTCATAAATGTACACAGTTAATTGTACATGAAGCACTTTTTAAAATCTCTCCTTGCTCAGATTTACCTGTTTCTGATTTTCACTGTAGTTGCGTATTTTTTGTGTGTGGTCTTCATTATTATTGTTATTTTTTTAAGTTTTGGGAAGTTCATTTTGGAAAAAACAAAATAGAAACCCCAAAATGCCCCACTCCACCATCTTGTACCTTCAGGGGTAGCTGACGAGCTTTCCTTTTTCTTGGCTGGAGATGATGGTAAGCTGGTCGGTGGTTCAGGGCGGGGTTTTCCTTGTGTAGATGAGGACGTCTCATCCTTTCTACTGACTTGTGGAGATGATGACTGTGCAGGCTTCTCAACCACCTCCCATTCGTGATCCTGCAGAAAGAAAGCTGAACAGTCATCAAGAAACAATGCGAGTCACCTGTCTCCTTTTTTCAGATTTCATGACTTTTAATTTACAAATTATTAATATATAATAGCGATATTCAACTCTTTTTAACACAACATTCCAGAAATGTTTCCAGGCTCACTTACAGTAATGGGCTCCACTGTACATGTATATTAAGGAAATAATACTATTGGTTGAGGGTTTCTTTGATATCCAGAATTATGAGAGATCAGAAAAGTGCTATCATCTGACAGTTACTGAGATATACATTGAGTTTTCAATGTATAAAAATAACACTATTATCGTATTTATTTGGTACAGTGCAGCTCCATTTGTAAAGCAATGTTAAAGAAGGATGACATTACAGGCTTCTAAACACCACAATATTGCCAGAACGTTTAGCAAATAACAGATTGTCTTAGTTGGCCTGCACAGCTGAAGGTTTCATTGGTGCATAAAAATGCAAATATATCAATAATTACTAACAGTTATCAGATGATTACCTGGCGCTGTTGATCCTTGCCAGATTTCTTGGATCCTATATAAATGAAATGATATTGAATGTAATTACATATATAGAAGATATTACATGGTAGCAAAAAGATATGAATTTTCTTTTAAGGTGGAAAATATTGTTTTTAACATAGGAAAATAAAGCTCATGTCTCCACCACGTACAGTAAGTTTCTTTTTATCACACTGTAGACTAATCTTTTGCTTGATTTTCACTGACTGTTTGTGAAGAAGAGGGAAACGACGTAATCAATAGACTCATCAGTGAAAATATGGAAAATTTGTCACTCAGGTCCAGTAAAACATATGTGTATAGAAAATAAATTTTTCTATTCTTTTGTACAAATGAGCTTATCGTACAAATATATGGATCACAGGCTTCACCCAATATGCACACCTCATATAAACTTCCATTACACCAATTAATAACTGAACATTATCATGTTAAATTATTACCTGCCATACTGCCTTGTATCAAATCCCCAATTTTGTTGAAGAATTTCCCAGCCTGTGCATTCACAGTATTGACAGAATGACCTAAGGTTGCTGACCTAGTATGCATACACAGAAGAAAAAGAATCCAACCTTTATTTAATGAAGTAGTCCATTTTTCCTTTCAAATTACTGTGAGTGTAACAA